GAGCGTTTTCCTTTTCAAGGCAGGAGGGAAGGGTGTCAGTGCTGACATCCCAGACACCATAGTAGATGACTCTGATCCAAAACAAACAAACAAACAAACAAACAAACAAACGTCTTTACTGTGCAACTCCTGTTCCCTCCGAGCTCCCTGGAACCATTGTACCCTCTCTAGCAGTACAGTACACTTTCTGTCCTCCACAACCCTCTCAGGAGCAGGAAGGAACACTCACAACAAAACTGTTACAAAAATAGAGTATTCAACACAGGGACTAACAGTCACCCAATAAAACTAAATATAATGGTATGGGGAAATCAGTGAAGGACTAGCCTGTCACCTGCTGCCAGGCCTAGACTTCCATCTCCCCTGGGGTGACAAAAGCATATAAAGTGTGATGCAGCCTGGACAGCCTTTGCTGCTTTTGGAACCTGATAGTTCTGTGATGCCTAGAGGCCCAAGGCTACCAATGTTTCAGAAAATACACAGGGCAAGGAGATACCTCCTTCTGTATCTAAGTCAACTTTACCAACCTCTTCACTGCAGCATTCAACTGGAGGACCTGGAACACTTGTTTAATCCAAGCATTGTACCTTGATTGCCCTCAAAACATAAGAAGACTTTTTGACATTTAAACTAGATTGACATTTCAACAAACTTTTAAAATACTTTGAAAAGTAAACTCTTTTACCCATGCTTTTCTGGTACTTCAATCCTGTGACTTGGGTGCTCTTCTAGGCTGCTGCTGTAGACAGCGTTGTCTCTGATGTAGATAATTATGCACTACAGCCAACCCTTGACTGACAACCCTCAAAAATAGCTTCAATTTAAACAGTAACACTCTGAATACAGAGTCCCAAGTCCAACTGTACACAGACATCCTCTCCTAAGGTTTGCTAGTCCCCTTTGAGACCAGGAAAGTCTTCATGTGTCCATCAATAGGGCAATTGTGTTCCTGCTGCAGTAGTTCTGCACTCCAAGCGGTTCCCCTGAGTATCCTCTACTTACATATTTTTGCTTGGGTTCCTGCTACCTGCACTCCTTCACCAGAAAACTTTTCAGGATTCTGGGTCAGAACTCAGAGATATGCTTCAAGCTGTCTGGAGAGGGATTTACTCTCTGCTCCTGCTTAAACCACTTGATCCGAGACTGCATAAACGGCATCCTCAATCAGAGAATTAGTGATCTCTGCCTGCAGGGTTAACCCTGCAGCTTCCGCTTGCTGGAAGCTGTCAGCACCAACTCTTTGCTTGTTGCTGGCCATCAGTAACCTGAGTTTCCCTCCTTCTTCACAAACTATGTTTGGAGTCCTTGTCATGGTGGGTTGCCCCAGTAGTTTTCTGGGGTATTGCATGTCCACACACACTTCTAAGGGGATTTCTGTACCGTTCCTATTGCCAACAGAGCACTAGCTGCTATTTGCAGTTTCTACTTCCCCCTGTTGAAAGGCTGTTACTGTCTTGCCAGGGACACAAATCTCCTTTCTGACTATCCCTTCCTGGATATCAGACTTGGGCTTCTAAATCCTTTCACTCCAAAAACACCTTGCCATTATTCCTGGCCTCTTAAGTATGACCTCCCTTAGCACCCAAGTCTTTTGACTGGGATCTACTCTCCTTCCTCATCAACTCAGGGTATGGAGTTTTCAAGTGTGGATCCACTAAACACTTGAGAGATTTCCTGGGATCTACCACTCTGCTCCAAAGTCTTCTACTGGGCTTAGGAACTAGTGGGGACATTAGCTAATGTTCAGCTTACCCCCTACCTTCTTCCTTTCCTCATTAAGTGGGGGTAGTAGTTTAGGATCCATCTACCCCAAAGAGTTGGGCTGATCCTGACCTTAGATTTACTGTTTCAGGAAGACTAGAACTTCTCAGTGTCTTCAGCTGCAGCTCAAATTCTGTTTTTGTGGTCACTATTCATAAGCTTCATCCATAGTTCCTCCAACTGAAGCTCCCTTTCCTTCAGCAGGCTCCATCACTATAGCTCAGTGCATCTTTCTGGATCAGTTTCTACTCAGTCAATACACCTTCTGTCTTATTTCTCCCTTCAAACATATTGGTTTTAGGAAAGAGAAAAGTTCTTTCGTCCTTTCCATTACTTCTGCCAGCAGTGTTTGCAGATGTAGTCACCCTCAGTTTGATTCTGAAAACATCTGCCTAGACATGAGCAACACCTGGTGAAATATCATGGAAGTGAACATAGAACATCCAAGTATTTATTACAAGTTGTGTGCTTGCAGCACTTCCAACACTGGAGTTGTAGCATTGTGGGATGCATTTTTGGTCTGAGTTCCAATTGAAGTGCCATCCATGTAGTAAGGCAAGGGAATGGCATAAAAGATTGAAGGACAGGTCTTGCTGCAGCAGAATAACCTCCCTTTGCCATCAGCTGATTAGCAGAAGCATTTTCCTGTAGTGGGAACCACTGTTCCCCTGCTATATCTGTGGCAGGTGAGGAAGCTATACATGGTGGTTAAGTTCATGGTTGTGTGTGTAGTTTTAATAAGGTCAGACAAAGATTTGCTTGGAATGGTTTGGATAGGGATGGTCCTGCCTCAGGCAGGGGCTTGAGCAGATGACTTCTAGAGGTCCCTTTCAGACTATACGATTTTATAACCCTCACAAAACACCAGAAAGGTTGTTCCTGGAAAGAATGGCCCTTAGTTGCTTTCCAGTCCACCTGTAGGAGCACAGGAGGAAACAATTAATATGGGGGAAGTAGACAGAACTGAACAAATACCTTCTATAAAACAAAAGCTAGAACCTGAAAAGATCCCATGTGGCTGCTAATCCACCTAATCAACTTTGTAAGTATTCTGCTTTCACCAGAGAGAAAGGTGCATTGATTTAAGAGTTAATTATATTTTAAAATACATTTAAAACAGCTTTGAATTAATTGATATTTATTGGTTTACATTTGTACTTTTAACCTCTCCTTTAGAAAAATAACTAATTGATTGTTCAACCATTAAAATTGCAATAAACAAACAATACACATTAAATTGGCATTAAGTGACTTAGGTGTCTGGTTCCCATGGCTTTAAATCAAAGTACTTTGGAAATCCCACCCTTAAGTCTTTTGCTCAGTAAGCCCACTCAACCCAGCCATTCCACTATTTAATTCACATGTGCCAGCTCAGTGGGGACAATGTTGGCCACATTTCGTTTGTATGCCGAGAGCTTCAGGAAAATAAAATGGAGTAGTAAGGAATGCTTCTAGAAGTTTATCCCACTGGATCCAAAGTATATTTGCAAACGTTATATACAAACACATTTGCCTTCCATTAATGATATATAATCTATGGGTGTGTACATAAATACTCCATGCATGTTTTATAGCACTTTTTATAGGACTATAGAAGTTACAATCCTCTTAAAAATGACAGAAGTGCAATGTTTGCTGGGGGAGCCTCTGAGCCTCACTGGACTTTCCACGCTAGGAAGCAGGGGGCACTCTACAGCCTCCTGGGACTTCTCCACTGGTCAGAAATCTGATCAGCGTACAGAAGTTAATTAAAGCATTGTAGGTTGCTAAAGTGCTGTAAAATATAGCACTTCAAATTTAATACCTCATTTAACAAACGTTATTTGAAAGTGCTGTACCCACTTTTAAAGTGCTGTAAAGCCACACACTTCTGTTAAGTCACAGCAATAAAAGTACTTTAAATGGTGAAAAAAAAGCAACTTCCATACACACCCTGCATTAATGGCTTGTTTTTATATTAATATTACCTAAAATACAGATAATTTCACTAAACCATATTGCTCTGGACAATATGGAAGAAAATGCAACAATCCCCATTTAAGGAAAGGTATGGGGGTGGAACAAGATCCATACTTCGCATCCAGAGATCAAAACTACCATTTCCTCCCCCCCCCCCGGGTCCCTCTACCAGCTGAATCGAACAAAACATATTATTGACCTACCTCATATTACAAATGCAAAATTTTAAAATCAGTTTTCCAGCTTAAGAGCAGTTTTAGCATTCACTTGCTAGCCCTTTAGATTGGACACTCTTGGCTTGAAGTTATTTTAAAAAGACCAGACATAAGCACATCCTTCATCCCTTGTACAGGTGACAAATCAGTCTGTTTATATCTGGGCTAATGGTGAGTGAAAACACTAAGAAAGAGAGAGGGGTTTTCAAAGCATCTGGAATAAAGTTTAACATGTTCAGTTTATGAATTAAGGAAGTGGTGTGTCACTTCAAATCTTTAAAAACTACTGTTCATAAGTATAAAAAAAAACAAACTTATACTGGTAGTATATTAAAATATTTAAATAAAAGGATTCCATTGTTAGGTTGTTAAAATTTTCATTTAGAAAATAAGGTAACAGTGTCAGCTGTTGTGTTTATACTACTAAGGTTTGAAACAACGCAATTTAGAAATTACGGCCCTTAAAAATAAAAGTAGTCAGCAAGAAACTAGAATTTCAGTGTCATAAGTTTACATTTATGCCATTAAGACTGTATGAAAGCTAGAGATGTGACAAATTCCTTTGTGGAAACCTCTAAATTCAAAATGCTACAAATTACAAATCTCATTAAATAAAAAAAAATATCTTTTAATAATGTCTTCTTGTGCCAACAATTCCTTTTAAAATTGTACAGAACTACCTTCACAAAGTCCTTTTAGATTTTCAGTGATTATGTTCATTACCCGAATGGAATGCAAACATTTAAGAAGCACACTGGATACTAAAACATATCAGGATACATTTTTGATATATGGAAATTTTATTTATCATGCGTATTAAACTGATACAAATTTGCTACACAGTTACCACAGCAACAATTACAATTCTTAATTTACAAAAATAGTTATCACCCATTAGCATCTCTATATCTTAAGCAATTATATATTTTTTCCTCTACAATGAACAACAGTGGTTAAATTTGTGGAAAAAATGTCTCCCTAAACCAAAAGGAAAGATTATGTCATGAATTACCTAAATTAGTATTTAACTGTAAAAGTCTTAGTGCCAATAAGACATTCATCTCTAAAATTTTAAGGCCTGTTCCCCATCACTAACAATAAGAATGGCAGTATGCTTACACTATGGTGCTACTACCATGGAAAACAGATTGCATTTTAGCACATTGTACAAAGTACATTTGTTTTTGACAGATCCATTATATTTGATTTCTATCCTGCACTTTTTCTTTACTAGCTGGAAACTGCTCCTGCCTGAAAAGCCCATCAAGAGTCAATTGGTAGGAACATCCATGTGCCAAAGCAGGATCATGCAAGTAGGGAACACCACAGCAAGTAGGTTACCTTTCAGTTAGAGGAGAATAAAGAAGTTCAAGATCAGCTTAACAAAGAAGAAAGAGAAAAGAAACCTGGATGATTAGTCCTAGCTTTGCTCACATTAAGCCCATGTGCTTTAAAAAACCCCCAAACAAACCCACACCTCCAGTTTTTTGTTAAATCTTGTACATTTCAAATTACTTTTGGTAAATTGCATTGCATTAATAGTCACTTAAAAAAAAGGGTAAAGGTAAATCTAATAACATTGCCAAACTTCTGGCAGCTGTCATGAAGTGTTAAGCAAAAATAATATGAGTTCCAATCCAGGACCTTATCCTGCAACTGTACTGTACATGATGAACTGCAAAATATGACTTTGCTGTACTGAAGTTAACAGCAATTTTTATACAACAAAAGGGATTGCAATTAGTTAATTTTAAAAAAGATCTTATCACAAAATTAATGTACATTTTTAGATGTTACACACATTGTAAATAAGAGTAGCATATTATTTTAACAACTGAAATCTTGCCTCTTCTATTTGGAGTGTTGTCATAACTACAAACTTCAGTCGTTTTCATCCGACTTTAAGCAATTAAGTTATACAGATGTTTTGATCTTTTAAATTGCCAAATGTGCACACCATTTTTAAACACCAAAAAAACAGAAGTCATATATACTTAAGCATACCACAACTTAAGGACGTATTCACTTCAGAATTCCAAAGACAATTTGTATCAGAGTCAACTAATGCATATGTTCAAAGTTGCTAAAACAGAAGTTACAAATGTAGTACAGTCATGTTAATATTAAGGTCATGCACACTTCAGAAGTGCATTAAAAAAAATTGACATTATACTTTATAGCAAATAGTTACTTAAAAAAATACTGATCTCCACAGCACACTTTTGAAAAGTAATTATGAGACCTGTTACAGTTTTAAGATGAAGAAAAGATGGGGGGCAGGGGGAGTTAAAGGAGAAGCAGGGAAAGGGAACTCATACTTCTGAAGTTGAGGAGCAAGGATTATGTATAATCTTTTAGGCTAGGTACAGATGTTCAATTTCTAACCAGGAGAATCGCTGTTCTCTCAATAGAAACCAAGAACGTATAGACATTCAAGCTGTTTCTTACACAGCAGAAACGGCTGTTCCAGGAAAAAAACAAAAAAACAAAACCCAACCCCCCCCAAAAACCATGGAACAACAAGGGTTAAAACTGCCCCTGGGAGAGTTTCTCTTAGAAGATTGAACAATGGGCAAGGGGAAGCGAGACAGCTGGGAGCCAGACATGCAGAAGCTTTCCTGAGCTAAACTCCTGACTCCCCTCTTCCTCTACTGTCCAGCTGACCCAGAGCAGTGCTGAGCAAGGCAGGCTGCAGTCACAGGGGAAAGCTTGGGAACATTGCTGCTGTAGCAAAATGCCCCTGCCTCACCCCACACTGCTTTGGGTCAGCCCAGGAGTACAGGGCAAGGCAGGTTGCTGTAATTCTGAGGGACATGGATCAAAGTGCCTAATACCTTATGTACTTTTTAATGCACCATACATAGTTTCCTTAAAATTAGTGGTCTCTACAATATGCATATTTGAAAGCATTAAAAAGAGACATTACACATTTTCCTTTCAAGTCACTACAGTACCTCACCTGGACAGTCATACTTTAAACAAAGAGAACTTCCATTTTTAAAGTGCAACAGACCTGCTACAGAGCAATTATGAAAATTCAAGTGACAAGCTACACCAGGAACAGATCTCTTATATAATAGTGCAACACTGAAGTAATACATACCAAATTATAAATATATATTTAAGAAAAAAAATACATAAATATTTAGTGTTGTGAATATTTAGGATGAGTGGGAAATTGCAGTTACTCACTATCTACCTTCTCAGATTTATTCTTGAAATATTAAAAACGAAACCAAAAATGTGCATAGCTTAAGGATAATTTAAACAGTGGTTCTTCAATCTAATGAGCTCTGCTTAAGAAAACCTTGCACTTGTTAACATAATTGAATATTATAGGTTAAAAAAAGTCAATCCATTTATGATAGATGCGTGTGCACAAGTCACATTTACTTAAAGAACTCCAGTACCAATTGTTACACCCTGTAATTTATAGTTTACATATTAGCCTTTTCTCTTAAACGATATGTCCAAGGTTGATCCATATAATCCATATATTCCAAATGAAATGCATTTCAATGGAGACAAAGAAATGCCTCATTTGTTCTATATCCTCTTTTCAGATAAAACTGAAGACAGGTTTTGCTATTAACCCTCTTTAGTTTTTCACTGAACGTTACTGCATTACCAGCATTTTTGCAAAGATAAAGATGAGACAAAACAGCTTATAGTACACTTAAAAAAAAAAAAAAAAAAAAAAGCTTTCCAGTCTTAATTTCTTGCACTACTTCAAGCCTTCGATTTTGCAGGGCTTTTCAGCTATCAAGGTGTAGGATCAAGTCCTTAGGCAACTGAAGAACAGTTCTTGGCCACTTAAACCAACGAATTCCTAACTGGATTATTCTACTGAATGCAGAGATGTTACAAATGAATTCAGTAAGTTATACATATTAGTAAAGCAGGATTTTCCATAAGTCAACATATCCAAAGTAGCTAATACCAAGCAGTTCATAAAAAGGTAAAACTTAAAAGAAGTCTGGGCATCTCATTAAACCTGAAATCTTACTCAGTTAATTCAAATGTTTAACCAGACTGTTGTGGGACAGGCTTCATTGACCTCTTTCTGTACTCCTGAACTGCTAGTGCAGTGACAAAAAGTATGTATGTATGTATGTATGTTGCAGTATAAAAGCCCTCTATTTAGTCAGTTTTCAATACTGTTGCTATATAAATGAATCAGTTTTCTGTACACTTGATCCCAGTTTTTCACCCATTTTAGGGTGCAATTTATATTAACCCTAAACCCACCTAATTTTAAAGGGCATTTTCTCCCTACTTCAAAAATTCAGGAAAAAAATGTGGGCCCATATGCAGGGAAGACCTGTAGTACTACTTCTGTCATAACCAGATCTTGAAGGCTTCTCTCTCCTACTCCAGATAGGGACCTCCTCTGATGGCACTGACCTGGCACAGCATCTAATTTCACAATATTCCCTGGTGCTCGCAATATAAGCTTGGCTAGACTTTCTATATATCTGTCCTCAGCCTCAAAAAACACAGCCAGCCTGGATCAGAGGAAACAAAGACGAATGCTGGAACCATCCCTGCACCAGATTTTACTTTGCTGATGGCCACAATCAAGGCATTTAAATTACATCTCACTGCATTAGGCTGCAATACAAGCTTTTTATTTATGATTGTAAAGATTCACTCTTTCTTCTTGACCGCTCCAGAACCAAAAGACACTTAAAAAAAAAAAAAAAAAAAAAAAGTACACCTTAACATATTGATTCTGTCAATGAAAACTAACCAGCACTATTTACAGAACTGATCATTTTGGCTCCAAAACTGAAAAGGGACCTATGTAGGTACAACGGAAGTCTCTCTCAACCCCTAGCAGGATCAAGGGGCATCAATACTGAAGTATTGAAATGTTTAATTTAAAACGTTCTTAAACACACATTTGTCACATTTAGCTCCATGTATGACAAAAGGTTTGTAACAGAAAAAAAATAAAAAGAGATACAATGTTTTCAAACTTCAGACACTACCAGAAAGAGGTTACCCTAAATTACCTTCTTTGAGATTTAACACTTCATTGCCAACTAACTAGACTGTCCTTATTTCTTAAAAAACTACACTGGAAGAGAAGGTGACATAAAAACCTTCACACCTGTTCATTACAAAATACTGACCTCAAAAGAAACATGACCTGTTACTAATTAGCCAAATTTAGAAGTCATCATTCCTAGCTAAGAAATGGAATAAAGAAAGAGGTTCTGGTACTTGAGATCCAAAGATAATCTGCCTTCTTCCACCTCCCAATCAAAAGGCATTAAAGATCTGAAATTATATTATGCTTCTCCCAATGTGATGTTTTGAACCCGACATTCGGGGATTTACAGAAGCCATTTACTCAGCGAGAAGGTACCATTTTGTCATCAGAAAGGAACCACACTGGAATTCTTGTAACCTGTTTACATAATCACCTATACTTTAAAAGGGGCCGGGGAGGGCAGGGAAAAATACATTACTTTGTTCTCAGAGAATTACTCTAAATCTGACACAAAGTGAAGGAGCTCAAAGGAAGTTCCGGTAAATACTGCTAATTGAATCTACACAGACATGTGCTCAATATATTTAATACTCATTAACTTGTTTGCCAGCAGTTTAATTTTGTCTAACACATAACATAGATTTTACTTTAAAAAACAAACAAACAAAACCTGGTAGAACAAGCAGTAACTATATGCTTTATAATATAGTCCACATTCAAGTAAAACTTTTATCCCACCCAAGGGATCTATGTGTGCGCATGAGTACTGCAGTAAGCTAATGGAAATACAGCTAAAGAAATGGAATTCCAAAACCAAAAAACAGACAAAACAAAAATAACCAAAACAAAGCCCACCAAAAACAAACAAAGATAAAGGCAACTTCCCAGCCTCCAAATCTATGGAGTACTGCATAGAAACTCACTATTTAACTAAACAATATTACAGGTCAGATTTTTCAAGGGGTTAAAAAAAAAAAAAAAAGTGAGAACTAAAGTGTAACAACTGGAGTAAAATTTAACTTCTAGATGTCCTTCTTCTAAAATATGCATACAGCTAACTGGATAGATGAAAGTGTCGATCATGAACATTGACTGTGCTATAAAGAGGACAACTGCTGTACTTACATTTCATAATTTTTTTTCTAGCAAAACAATTTGATAGAAATGCCAGTATGTTATAAAAGTAAACAGAAGGGGATACACAATGTTCATTAATTGTGGCTATATACATTTTACATCTTATCCCCATCTCCTTTCATAAGTGAATAAGCATTCAGCATTGCTAATCAACTTCCCATCCACAGTCTCCCACCCCTTCAAGTAACAAATCTGATCAGTTCTACTTAGATGAACTCTGGCAGGATGAACAGCCATCTCCTTTCCACATTATCCACACTGCCACTTCTATTGTGGAGGTTGAAGTACGTTTAGATATTCTGACTGGCCCAGCTGGTAAGTTGTGTTTCCTCCACAGTCTACATATTGGTACCTCTCCTGGGATATTTGCTCAGAATGGCCAAAGTAAGATGTCGTCACAGTCACTCTTACAATAGAAAGAAAAAAATAGTATATTATTTGGCGCTCTCAAATTTAATTTTCCAGAGCCTATAAAAACCAAATACAGGATATTCTTCAAAACTAAATATAAGATTTGTTTTGTGTTTAACGTTAGGAAAAATAAACACTTAGGAAGTACTCAACCCAAGGAGCAGCACAGAAGATATAATCACTTCTTTGCACAAAATATGTACATCTTTACATACAAGTCACCCCCATCCTCAGTATTGGTCACCCCTCTGCTGTCAACTGAAACAAGCAACTGGCATTCACTATGTATGAACAGGGTAAGAACCCGCCCCCCTCCCACAAAAACAGGGGAAAAAAAAAACCCAAAAAAAAACAGGTTTCAGGCGTCTCATAAAACAGGTTCCCAACCACCAGGCCACGACCTGGTACTGGGCCATGAAGGGTTAGCTGCCAGGTCGTGGCATGAGCTCCCCAGGCAAGCAGCTTCGGGGCATGCTGGGTTAAAGCTGGGGGGCAGGGCAGCCCCAGGAGGGAGGCAGATGGCTCTGTGCCTCCCATCTTGCTCCCATGCTGGCCCACAGGAAAAAGGTTGGTAACCACTGCCATAAAAGCAGCTTTTGGGGGTGGGAAGGAAACTTGGCCATAACTCATAGATTAAATACTACTGTGGTTGGGAACTCTCTCTAGGACCATCATTCAAAATTTCCCTATACTACCAGGTTCCCTGCTGATAAAAAGGAAGTACCGATTTCAATAAATTTTTTTTCAAGACAACTATACAAAAAAAAAAAAAAAATGATTGAATGTAAAGGCTAATAAAGCAATTATTAATAGTTTACATAACCATGCATTTGAAAAAAATCTGTTTAGTCTTAAGACTTCTACTTTAATAAAAAGTAAATAAATGGCACTGCAAGCAACTTTTTTTGATTACATGAAAAATTATTCATACTTACTGCATCATGACTACTATGTTATGAACTTTAATAGATATTAAGGTACAGAAATCACTAAAACAAAAGAAAAACAGAACTCATTAGGCTTCAAATGAAGTGAGATTAACAAGTGAAAAACAAATAAAAACCATCTTCAATCAAAAGTTATTTACACCATTCTTGGTCTTTATCATTATATTTAAAAGTAGTCCATAATGAAATATTAAGTGTTCTTGTTTAAACAACTACTGCAAATAGACCAAAGTACATAGTCATCTTCTTTACATATATAACACTAGAAAGGGGCTTATATTTTCAGTCTAGCTAAAAGTCTAGCTCAAAAATTTTAGAAACAGCAACACCAGCATTTAAACAAGGAGTTAAATTAGATCAGGAGTTTTCAACAGGGGGTGTGTGTACCCCCGGGGGTACACGAGAAGGCCCTAGGGGGTACACATGGGCAGGTGGGGATGGAGTGCTGCTATGAACTATCCCGCGCTGCCGCGCAGGCACTACCAGCCCAGCCAGACGTGGGAGAAGCTTGCATGAGGTGGCTGCCCCCAACATCCAGTTGTGGGGGCACACTGCATCAAAAAGGTTGAAAATCCCTAAATTAGATGAATGAGGGGTTGGCAGCCTAAGATATGCAGTCATTTGATTCAGTCCACAGGTGAACTTTCGAAAGGCACTGGGCATTTGCCCCTTGCCACCACAGGGGAAAGCAGAGACAGCAATTGCTGTGATCTAGCAACTGTATTTCTCTGCCCCGCAACTCAGTTACTTCAGTCAGCAACCTTGGTGGTTGGCAACTGTTTTTAAATGAATGTTGGAGATTCCTACCAACACTACGAATCTGTAAAAGGCATTTATCTTTCTCCTTCTGTCCCTTAAATAGGCAGTTGTTTCACAGCATGCTTCTTTTAGACACCACTTACTAGAACCCAGCATTTTAAAAATAAAAAAAGTTAAAGAGAAAAAACAAACAAAACCCAATAAAACTGTTTACTAAGCAGACATTCCCCGCTCCCTTTAAAAGTTCTCTCTTCTGACTCGGTCTAGTTATATATTCTCAACTCAAAGACAGGGGAGGAAAAACAAATTCACAGAAAAAGGTAATGAAAATTTATCAGTTTGTTTCCTTTTTCTCTTCACAAAAGAAAAAAAAAAAAGAAGGAAGAAACCAGATAGTAAAGGCAGCTACTATTCAAATAATTTCATGTTTGGCATTTTCAGTACTTCAAAATGTAAAAGGAGTTGGAATTGCCCCAAATCCAAATTTCTAACAACAAAGAACTTAGTCAACGTGATGATACCACTGAAGCAAGAGACAGTCTTGAGTTCATTCTCTTACGAGTCATCTTGTTTACAGGGTTTAATACTATTTAAAACTTTAATATTTCCAAACAATTTTGTATTAAAAAAAAAAAAAAAAGATACACTTGACATGAGTATTATGCAAGTGTGAGGTCAACTGCCTGCTGCCCATTAGCACAGCAGGCAAAAAAAAAGTGCTAATGCATTAATGCACAGCAGAACTGGTCTACTGCACATTTGTGTCACCTAATGTGTGCACCAGTGCTGCTGTGCATTTAGTTAATACCCGTTATTACAGGTACTAAACTTATAACTACTGTCATTAATGCACATGTAGACGTGCTTACTGTAATACATTCTTCTGCCACTGATGATCCTACAGAGCAGTTCTAATTCGAAACAGAGACCAAATAAGTTTGCTCAGAAGTTACGAAGAACAGATACTTATAAGTTATGGTTCAACTGTAATCCCCAAAGTATATCTGCTGTCCAAACAAAAAAGTGAGGGATAGAAAGCCTGCAAGTCAAAAAGCTATTCATGAAGTCTTTTAATAAGAAAAAGCGACTAAAAAGCAGTACATTAAAACAACTGATAGTGGATACCAGAGCCCCAAAATTGAATTGGATCAAATCACTTGTTTGTTCTAGTACAGCAGTTGTGTTTTAAAAAAAAAAAATAATATTTCAGTAAATGGCTTTACTCAAGTATTTTCAGAACTTCTAAAACCAGGTATAGGAAATGCCACTCAAAATATAGCAGTGCAATAAGGCCATTTTTAGTTATCACGCTACCTAGCTTGTTTAGTACAAAGTTGTACAAAAAGGTTTTATTTTAGAAGCCAAACACTTACTACATGTAGCTCATTTCATCTTGTATGACTGTGGGTACCATATAATCAATCTGGAAAATAAAACCAAAAAAATCATATTGTATGATTCGAAAACTCAGGACCAAACACATCCTCTCTCAAAAACATATCCACATTCACCTGTTTCATATCCAGTGGACCAATGTTGGTGATGTTGTTTAACCGTGCCTTCCCAATAACTGTTTTTGAGAACTGAACTTGGGCTGTAATATTTGCCACTTCAACAGAATAATAATTGTTGTTTGTTATGTTTAGCGCATTCTGCAAAAAGAAGACAATTTAAAAATTATCAGATTTCTTAAGCAAATTTAAGTACTTAGTTACAAAACATTAAACTAATAAGTAAGTTTTTGTTGATTTCAGGCATTTTCTTGCCTACTAAAATCAAAGTATTCATAAACTGTGTCTGGGGGAAACAACATCCTACTTATGCTTTTGAAAAGAGCCATTAAAAAAAAGCATGAATCCCCCCCATTCTTGGCAGTGGGACTCAACCAAAGTAAACTAAACAACCTTGTGTCTAAAGCAGGGATGGACAAAGTCCAGCCCATGGGCTGGATCTGGTCAGCCGTAGACTCCATGTCCCAGCTTGCATGGCTTGTGATGGTTTCCATGAAGACTCCAGCTGCACTTGCATGGGAAGGCTCAGGTTGCCATGGAGACTAGCCCCAGCTGCGCTGGCAAGGTGAGAGAGGCAGAGCAGGGCAAGGGCCTGCTCCAGAGCCATTGGGAATTTGGGCTGGGGGCAATTTGCTGTGGAGCCAGGGAAGAGCCGCGATCTGTAACCTTCACGCTCTGGGCAGCGGTGCGCAAGCAGGGGTTCGCAGCTCTGCCCTAGGTCTCAGCCAGGCTGTCACCACAGCAAGAAGCCATGGCAGAGCTGTGAACCTCTACTTGCATGCCCCTGTCCAGAGCGTAGAGGCTACAGATTGCGGCTCTTCCCAGGCTCTGCAGCAAGCTGCCCACATCCCAAATTCCCAGTGGCTCTGGAGCAGACCCTTGTCCTGCTGTTTCACACACCTTGCCAGCATGGCTGGGGCTAGTATCCATGGTAACCCCAGCCTGAGCTTTCCCATACAGGTGCAGCTGGGGTCTCCATGGAGACTGGCATAAGCCATGCAGGCAGGGGCAGCTGGGAAATGGAGTCTAGATGCTGGCCAGATTGGCCATTCTGCCCACCCTTGTTCTAATGGTTACTTTGCATCACAGCTGAGAAGCTGCTTAAGCCAACTTTTGCTTTATCCATCCAGCTCACCATACATTTTTCTAAATGCATTGGCTAACATACTTTTGTGAAAACATGATTTAAAATACCTGAGGCAAGCAAAGACAACGATATTTCAAAACATTTTTATCAACTGCACCTCATTTTTGTAGCCTAGATAGAGCCTCAAACAAGGGACAGGCAAAATATGGCCTTCAGATCATATCTGGCCCGCCAGGCAATCCCATCCAGCCCATGCGGTCCCTCTGTAAGCCCTGGCCCCTGCTGCTGCTCTGAAAGCTGGTGCCTCCATGCAGGAAGTGTGGCCCCAGCTGCTAAGCAACCAACCCCCAACAGAGCCTGGCCTGACCCACCCCCAGCCCCAAGGTAGGGGGCACTAGAGACGAGAAGCCTCTGCCTGGCGGAAGCTTTTGCCTGGCCACCCTGTGGCTGTTTCCCAGCCCTCCCTCTCTATGGGAATGGAAATTTAGGTAAGGGTCCTACTGGTCCAGGAACAGCCATTGGGGGAAAGGGGACTGAGTGCAGGGAGCTGTGCGCTACAGGGCCAGGATAGGCTGGCCTGGCATGTTGAAGGAGCTGCACACTATGGAGCTGGATGGAACTGGCCCCGCATGCTGTCACCAAGTGCAGCTGGGGACTCAGACATGTGCACTACTCGGCTTGGTGGGGCTAGCCCTGCATGCTGCCACCATGTGCAACCAGGGACTTAAGTGGAAGCTGCATGTTACAGGGCTGAGCAGGGCTGGCCCTGCATACTGCTGCTGGGGAATGGGGGGGGGGGGGCGCAGTGGCAGGCCTGGCTCCACTTGCTGCCATCACACATGCAGCTCCAAGGACCACCCCCCACCATACCCACACCCTCCCCCCACCTCCCCCCCATACCCACACCTTCCCACCCCACCCACATACACCCCACCCCCCATACCCATATCCCACCTCACACACACACTGCAATAAAACACCCTCCCCACATACACCCCCTTACTCTTGTCTATTGCGTGGAAGTGGGTAAGACTATTTTGAGTTATTATGCAATCACCTCTAGATACATGTCAAGACAAAAAAAAGTTTTAAAATAAAATTAAGATATGCTATAGTAGATGTTTGATTTTTATATTTATTTATTTTTTTAAGTATACATTTTTTTTTTTTTCCAGTTTTAAGGTGGCAACCTCACCCACTTCTGAAAAGAGTACTTCCCAGGCAGGGGGAGGAACTTCTGGTGGCAAAAGGTCAGGGGGTGGGACTTCTGGTCCCAAGATGATGACTGGGGGAGGGCACCTGTCAAGGGGCAGGGCTACCCTTGCATCCCTCGATACCTCACCAAAAGTTGTTAAGTGGCCCTCCAGCCAAAATAAAATTGTCCCCTTCTTCTCCCCCTGCCTTAAACAGTAAGATGAGAGTGTTAAGCAGGGATAGGGACTAGCATACTTCTGGATTGTTCAGTTATTTTTATTTACATGGAGAGTTAAAAGAAACTCATCTTATGTGGAACAGAAGTGAATTCATTAGGTTTTCAGCAAGGAATTCAGTAAAGGCTTTAAGAAAAAACAGCAAAATAGAACCAACTTCCCAAAGGACAGGAAGCCATGGATTTGTATCGCATATAGAACACTTTGGGCAAATTCATCAGCATAACACACCCAGTTTTAGCCCCCTCGCAAGAGTCTCTCCAGATCGCTGACTCAAACAACATGTTGAATAAGAATGGCCCCGGCCATTCTAATACTGAACATCAAAGACTCAATGTAATGGATCATTTCCCCCCAAAACTACTTTGACAACTGCAATAATTCAGGCTGTCAATAGAAGCTTCATTTGATGCTGCTCCGATTGTCCCGGGGTTTGACCCTGACCAAAACAGGCACTGCACAATCATTTACACATACCATGCTTCCCAGCTGCATTGCTGAGCCTTTGCCAGTAGGTAGCCAACAGGAACACACAACATAGTCAGGTGAACCTCAGAGTACCCATACAATGCAGTTAAAGGCAACGGGATCTAAACGCAAGAGCCACACAATTGCTCTACCTGCATGGCAGGAGGTGAGACTGTGGGACTATGCATTAAGTCCCATTGTGCCTTATTGCCAGGGCACTTCCAGGGCTGGGGGACTGCTGCATCTTCCAGCTGTGGGAGGAGTGGGGGATCCCCTGCAGCTCACAGCCCCTCAGTCAAGAGGGCTCCCAGCTATGAATGCTGGCAGCTTGCTGGTGCAAGGGACAGCTGACAGGGCTCCAACCTGCAGAGGAGACTCTGCTACACATGCAAATTAAAGCTGTAAAGCTATAGAGTTAGTACACATTTTTGAGACCTAACTTGGACCTTTTTATGGCATAAATACTTTGCATATGTAGCTGGTTTCACTTAATTGCACAATTAACCAGCTAACTGTGTAATATCTATAACGTGTGCAAGAGGCCCCACAATAGTTTTACCACCACACACAATGTACCAAGAAAAAAGCGTTACCACATTTTATCCTTCAGACTTCAAGAAAGACTTGAAGCAGAACAATGGACTTGTATATCTGTAGGATCCCAGTACAAAAAAAAAAAGGCTTTTTCCCTCCAGGACAAACAGAATATTTATTTACAGCCCCTGAGAACTCTAGAAAACTAACGTCATTGTCAGATCTTAGGCACATCCTCCTGAAGGGGAGGAAAAAATCTTACAGATTTTACGATTAGGTAAGGGTGCAAAATCAGTATTGTCTGCCAAATATCCAGACCTGAAGAAAATCTGACAAACATGGGCATAGGAGATATGATGACATGAAACAGAAAGAGAACCTGACCACCATCTTTATACTTCATGCAATATCTTTATACTTCATGTGAAGCTGCTACTACAACATGTAGTTTCAAAAATGCTTACTGTTAAAATGACATTTACATAATGAAGTGTTGTTATAACATACATTTTTACTGCTTAATTTATGCATTTGAGGAAAATTGTTTACAACACATTTCAACAATAATGCTTGTTAACAGATTATCTTACCGTAATATTTAGATATATAATACGTCTACTTGGTTCGTAAGTGACGTATACCGACTTCACACCAACATATTCCACATCAATGGACCGAGGGAATAAAAAGAAGACAGCCAGCCCAGACAGGAGTAAGCATGCAATTACAGAAGCCGTCACGTAAAGTTTTCTGAGAAATAAAACGTTAAGTTTATTAGTATACCATTATTAAAGCAATGAGAATTACTCCTTTTTCTTGGCAATAAGAGTGCTAAGAATCAAAATGATTATTCTGATTCAACCTTTCACTAATTCCTTTAGTTGTATAACCTGGGGAAGAGTTTGTGTACAAGTATCAAGCCTCAAACAGACGGATGTCCTGTTCTTCATCATCTTAGTCTAACTTTGAAGTGAAATATATTTAAGAGCAACGTAACTAAGTATTCTGGGAGTGGAAGGCCAAGTAGAACTTCCCATAAGTCTATCAGAGGTAACTACACTAATCAAATATTAAAAAAGCATGTCAATACATAGAAGGACAACTCCTATGGACCTGGTATAACACCTCTTCTAGGAAAAAAATGCTGAAACTAAATGGAAGTGCTTAACTAGCTTATATGCCTGTTTGAGAGCAATGTTTTCTCAGTTGGTTTCCTGAAAAAGAAACAAATGGAAAGAATTGTCACAATAAATCCTAAGGGGATGCACTGGGATTTTTAAAATTTTTTTTGTTAATTTTTTTTTTTTTTTTTTTTTTTTTTTTTTTAAAGTGATCTAGGTATAAAACCAAAATCTTGAAAGCCAGCCTACTCAGTTATACAGGCAGTCCTCGAACTTATGACACAACTGGTTCCTGAAAACCGAGTCTTAAGTTGAAACGCTGCCACTCGGAACCAATTTTCTCATAAGAAGCAATGCTATAAATGGGGGATTGGTTCCTGAACCAAGGCCCAATACCCTATTTTCACCAAAAATACCCCATCTGACCTCCTTGCTTCTCCCCCCTTCCACCCTCCTGCTTATATCTTACCCTACAACTTTAATGGCACTTATGCTGGGAAAGCTACATCATGGCTTAGTAAGAGCCCAAATGGTCTTCCAAAAAAAGTCTATGTTTTTAAATGAATTACTTGATTAACAGGCTAAATCAGCGGTTGTCAACAGGGGCTATGCGTACCCCTGGGGGTACTTTGAAAGGTCCCAGGGGGTACGCGTGGGGATGGAGCACCACCACCCCATGCCGCCACCTCCCAGGAGCAGGGCTGGGGCAGGGCAAGGGCAGCAGCACCCTTCTGCAGGCTGAACAGGTGACACCCAACCGGCCAGATTCAGGGGGAGAAGCTTGCATGCAGCAGCCATCCACCGCTGTGTTGCTGCTCCATGTGCAGCTGCCGCCACTGCCCCCCCCACCCCCAGCATTCCTTGACCAGCCACCAGAGGTACACTGCTCAAGAGGTTGAAAACCCCTGGGCTAAGTTCATAAGATAATTTAAATAGCTATCTTAGAAAGCTAAGACATCTACTTAAGTCAGCAATGCATCCAGTCCTTTGTCTACAGACTGAAATGTTCTATTTTGAAGGAGGTAGAGTGCGTTTAAAAAACAAAATGAAAAAAACCACTTATGGATGTGTCCATCACGTCACATAAATCCTCACTAAACTTCACTTCTCCAAATGATATTGGATTGCATTTACCATATCAGCAAAACAAACAACTTCAACATCCTTTCACATATTAAAATTCTTACTGTAACTTACGTTCTCCTTGGCCTCAGTCTCTGATCACTGTATGGAATTAGCGCTACAAGCTGGTTTTCTTGTCCTATAAATATACAAGAACACTTCTCAAATACCTTTAGGTACACTTAGACACACTTATAAAGCAAAACAAAGAGCAAGCAATTAGAGTGTAGTGTAATCCAACACCAGACCCTTGGAATTTTATTAAGAAAAATACAGGAAGTTGAAGCAACACTTTTTCTTAAGTGTCTTGTTACAGAATCTTTCTTCCCAAAAAGCTGATGCAAGAGAAGTGTCAAAAAGCCCCACTGAAGCATGCAAGCTATACCGACACTGAAGAGATGAATTAAACTGATGCAATTCTTCTTTTGGGCATGTACCATGCTTGGTGCATGGATGAGCCAAGCTGAAACTAAAGCTCTGGGTTCCCCCCCCACCATGTCTGTCAGTAAATTGCATGTGGCACTATATACAGAGGTCCTATTATCCAACACAACTATGCAGGAGAACTCAGAAAAACTGTGAAACCCTCTCCTTTGCTTCTCTTACTCCAAAAAAGGATCCACTTAAAACAGGACATACTTACTTGATAGCAGTGCACCGATACACCAGTTCATATCATATTGGCACCAATAAAAGCAAAATTGACATTAACTGGCATTCAGATTTTATTGGCTGATAATGTTGCCAATAATTGCTGTGTGCATGCACGCAGCCCAGCAGCTTGGAGAACAGTGCCCAGCTGGTAAGTCTGTGGGGAAAAAGGGGCAGGGAAGGGGTGTGGGAATGGGGCAGATCAAGGCCCCCCCATGATGAGAGGAGTGGGGCTGGGACTGGGGTAGGCACTGCCCAGCTAGGATGGGGTGCAGAACGGAACTATGAGCAGTTCATCCAGGGGTGGCTCCTGCCCTGGCACACTCCAGGGGAGGCATGAGGGGTATGTGCCCCCCAGATCTGTGTGTGTAGGGCAAAGGCAGGATGATGCTACAAGCTGGAACTGGAAGCAGCGCTGGCTCTTCTTGGTGGGGTACTGGGCTGGGGCTGTGCATGGGGCAGGTGGTGCCAATGGGAGGGGAGTTCCTTGGGGTGGGGAGAGCTATGGCAAGTTCTGAGGTCGCTCCCAGCCCCAGCCTGCCCTAGTCCTGTGCATAGATCCAGGAAGCATGTGTACCCCATGCCTCCCCTGGGATGTGCCAGTGGCGTAAGCTGTTCCCCCCTACCCCCCTGGACCAACTGCTGGAGGCTCCATCCCACGCCCCGTCCTGGCTCGGCCG